TTTATAGAAAATGCCATGAATGGGTTGCTACACTAATTATCCTTTATGTCTCAATCACTTCAGCGAGCTTATCATCACAAATTTTATCCCATTTCCTGATGATCCAACCTAAAATTTGATTAACTTACGGTTAGCATGTAAAACCCCAAATTTACCATTATGCCCTTAGGGTTAATGATCCCATAACTCTCACATTTTTGCCATAGTGATCATGAAACTTCTTTGATCTATTACTCATGAACTAATTAAGACAAAAATGTGAATTATAATTTTTTTGATATTTTTTTATTTATTTACTTATATAAACTAATAATTATGAATTCCAATGATAATTAATTTAATTGCCTAAAATATGTTCTCCGTCCTTAAAAAAAATTATAATATTGCTAATGGTCAGAGGACCAATTAAGATAATTTTGATAATTTTTTTTATTATATTTTAATTTTTATAATTTTTAATTAATTTTAATAAGAAAATAAATAAATAATTTATATTTTAAAAAAAATAAAATTCACTTTCATTTTTGTTTAATCCCTTTGAATTTACTTAACTCACTAACTTTCATTTCATATTTTTCTTACTTAAATTTTATTTTTTATATTTATTTTAACCAGACAAAGATGAATCCCAAGGAAAATTATGGCTTTTAGGGTTAGAGGTTCTCTTTGACCTTAAAAAAAATTAGAGAACATTCCTAATCACATGAGGAATAATTCCATAAAATTTCATGCCATGATGATTAATAATTAATTATTTATGATTATAATAGTCTCTAGAGTATTTAATTAATTTAAAATTAAATATAAGACAATTACTTTTAATTTTAGGTTCATTAAACTTTCCTCTGTTCACTGGGAACAAGGAGTATTTTTCTTTTATTTTTATGATTTTTCTATACGAAGATATGATTTTTTAAAATTATATTCCATATTCTATATTTATTTAAATCAAAATATCTTGATTTAGCTACTTAACCACACAACAACCACCTTATCCTCGCCGTCTACGAAGGCCCATGCGTCACTTTGCAGTTGGTTGCACTTTTCACGTGTGCTGTCCCATCACCTCATTGTCTGAAATCTTATATCACTCTGATCCGCCATCCAAACTGATTCACGCCATCCAAACTGATTCGTGCTATCCATTTTCAGTACATGAAAATGGACGGCATCCGATCATCATCCCCAGTGGACTATAACCCAAGAACTATCCATGATCAAGGGTTAAGATCTCGCTTTCTTAACCAAATTAAGTATGATTTGTTCCTACACATTCATCTAAGTGAGACAAACACATCTATATGACTAGGTGGACATTTATTTTTCAATTTCTTCATAAAAGACCAAAATTGAGAGAGATTTAGGAATTTTTTAGCTATACCTTTGCCCAAGAGGTGAAGCCTCAATTAGGATGGTTAAAAAGCTTCACATTGGCACCACACACCTCCTTCAAGTGTTGATTTGATCTATGGATGGTTCTAAGTATGACTTAGACCAAAAGGTGGCTTTGGTGTGGTCTAGAGCTATGGTAGAAGGTGCAGGAGAGGGGACATTTGATTGTGGAAGTGGTTTTGAGGTGTGGTAAAGCTTTTGTGACAATTAATTTGAAGTTTGGAGGAGTTTGGTGGAATTACTGAAAATGTTCTGGTTTTCAATGGATCAATGGAGAAATTAGGGTTTAAGGTGGGGGACAGTGGAAAAAAATGATGGGGATGAGCTTTGTGTAGGTTTTAGAATAGTTTGAAGTAATTTTGGAGGGGCTTCACCAAGATTTGTGCACTTCCTCCATTTGGTCGTGAGGGGGTGATGTACTTATAAACTCGACTATTGGGCTTAATTAACCAAGGAAAGGGATGCAAGACGGTGCTTATGTGAAGAGATGACTAGGGAAAAATTCCAATGGGAGTGAGCAATGATAGATGGGTTTAATTTTGGGTTTTCCCCCCTGGGTGGCTCTCAAGCTTAGGCTTACCTCCAGCCATGGTTGTTTGTCATGGCATGGGTGGTCACCATCTAATTGTGGAAAGTCAGTGGTAGTGAGAGGTTCTATATATGGTGCAATCACAAGGTTACAAAGTTCCAGACAAAGAAAGTTTGGTCTGTAGATTGAAGAAGAGGAACTATGGCTTGAAGCAAGCCCCGAGATAGTGGAATAGGAGATTTGACAGGTTCATGCCAGAAAATGGGTATATGAAGTGCCATGCAGACCACTGTTACTTCACCAAACACTTTGGTAATTATTATATCTTGCTTCTCTTGTAAGTGGATGATATGTTGATTGCAAGGATATGAGTATCAAGTGTGTTCAAGATGAAGGATTTAGGTCTTCCTAGTAAGATCCTTGAGATGATAATCTGCAAGGACATGCGTATAGAAATGCTAAAGTTAGCTCAGACAGAGTATGTTGAGAAGATCCTACAGAGGTTAAGTATGAGTAAGGCAAAACCAATTAGGAATTCCTTAAGTAGTCGCTTCAAACTATTTAAGGAGCTATCATCTAACTCTAAAGCAGAGCAAACACAAATGTAGAAAACTCTATATGCTTAACAGTTAGAAGTTTGATGTATGTGATGATTTGTACCAGAACAGATATCTGCATGTATAATGAAAGTGGCCAGTTGGTACGTGGGATCCAAGAAAGCATCATTAGGAGACGGTAAAGTTGATTCTCATGTATTTGAGATGGACAATCAACAAGGAACTTTGTTATGGAATTACAGGGATCAATCTATAGGGATTTGTAGATTCAGATATGATAGGAGCCATGGATAGTAAGAGAAGTACAACAGGGTATATCTTTATATTGGATAACATTGTGTTGAGTTGGGTTTACAGGTTGCAGGTGATTGTTGCACTTTCAACTACGAATTACAAAGGACAAATACATTGCCATCACTGAGGCTAGCAAGGAAATGATTTGACTAAATAATTTCATGATAGAATTAGGTAAGGAGCAAGGGATCGAAAAACTCTACAGTTATAGAATGAGTACAATTCGTCTTAATAAAAATGCTATTTTTCATGTCAGGACGAAATACATTAAGCCGACTTATCATTTTATTTGCTTTCTCCAAGAAGATGAGCAATTTGAACACAACTCAGAATCTTGCAGACATGTTGACAAAGGTGGTGGATGTTGAGAAACTGAAGCTATGTTTGGCTTCAATTAGGTTTCATGAAAGTTGTGACCAAGGGCGAGCTACATCACGGTACGTAACTACACTATGTGACTATGAAGACGATTCAGATGGAGGTACATGTACAAAGGATTTTGTTGGGTGCTATCATCTCCAAGTGGGAGATTGTTGGGTTTGTGGAGCCAAAGCACCAACTGAAAACCAAGCGCTCGACGCATATGCTTTGGGTTGTGTGCCCTTAAGTGCCCACTTGGGCACTGCTCGTAGAGACAATGACACCTATGCACAGGGCTATGACGGATATGCGCCCATATGGGGCGTTGCTCGCTCGTCCCATGTACCCCTATCTTAAGCCCTTATTCCAGAGATTGGCACATTGATAAGGCCGGGCACTTATGCACTCAAAGCAATTTGTACGGAACTTTTTTTAAGGCTAAATTTCTGCGGTGCATGTGTAGCTTCCTGTGCGAGTTCTTTGACAAGTTCTTGGTGAATGAGAGAGGCGTTGGAAAGGAGGATTTATGTGATTTCAGTGTGCATTTTTTGTGTCAGAACAAAGTAGGAAGAGTTTGGAGCGAGGTTTTGTAAGTTTCTTTGATAGAGGAGAGAAAATTTAAGTGTACTCTCTGAATTTTATAGTGAAATTTGATAGTGATGTAGCTCCGTGATTTTTTTTCGTTATCAGGTTTTTTCACATTAAATCTCACATGTTATTCTGGCTTACTTGTGTTTCGTTCATAGATTTGTTCTGATTTTTTGGAATATATGAGATTCTATTTTGTGGTGGTGTGGCTTTGATTTTAGAGTCTAGGCCCTAATGAATTTTGGGAAAGAAATTTTTCGGAAAGTTCTCTTTTCTTCCAACGATATACTCTTGTTTCCACATTTTCATTTTATACATAATTTTACATAAAT